GAGGCTGCAATGCTTGGTAAGAAATGTATGCATTATCCTGCCCATGTAATTGTAACCCCTCTGTACAGTATGTTCACAAATAAAATTAAATTAAATTAAAAAAAATAAAAATAAAATGTGGAAAAAAAAGAAATGTACTCATTATCTTGCCCAAATACTTGTAACCCCTCTGTATAGTATTTTCACAATAAAAAAAATAAAAAATTAAAAAAAGAATAGGTAAACTGCCAATGTTTACAATAGTTTAAGTCCTTATATTTCCATTATAAACATTTCAGACACAATGCAACAAATTTAAATAGTGATGTCAACAAAGTTGGTGTAAGAAAAGGTAAGTTGCCTCCACATCATCTTTATACTAACAATTTTTTTAAATATAGTAACAATTTTTTAAATATCTTTAAGTTTTTAAGGCAAAAAAACTTGCAATTTGAAATTGTCCAAAATCATTTTCCATTTACTGCAAGCTTTTTTTGTACCAGTAGTAGGGCTTGAATTGAGGGCCTCATGCTTTTACTTGTCTTCTTCACTCATAGCTGAGGCGTTACCACTTAAGCCATAATTCTACTTTTGCCTTTTTAGTGGTTAACTGGAGGTAATAGTCTCATGGACTTTTCTGTCCAAGCTGGCTCCTTATATTAATCATCAAATCTCAAACCTCCTGATTAGCTAGGATTACAGATGTGAGTCACCAGGGCTCAGCTACATTTTTCTTTTAAGCATTAAGGTTTAAACTCAGGACCTTACGCTTGCTAGTACATTACCACTCAAGCCATACTCTTAACCCTTTATGTTTTGGTTGTTTTTCAGAGAGGGTCCCACTCTTCTGTCAGGGCTGACTTAGACTACGATTTTCCTACTCTTACTTTTAAAACAACTGGTACCTCATGAATGCACCATTATACCCATCTGTAGTATTTCTGCTCAGGACAGGTAGGCTTCATATTTGGACCAGCCAGTTATCTATTTTCCACAACTTACATAATTTGTCTTTAATACAAATTATAGTATTAAAGTAAGATACCATCTTCCTTATATTTAAGATAAATTTAAGTCTGCTTCACATTTAATATAGCTAAATATTACAAAAAAATCCAATTTAATCCTCTAAGTTCATATGAAACAATCTTAGGTAGTATTTTGTTTATGTTTTATTGCTAAAAAAAAGTTTCATGGTGCTTACCAAAGGCACTCAACATTACCAGTTTCAAAAACATAAATACTCAGTAATAACTTTATTTACATGTATATACACATATATGGAAAGAAGGGAAGGAGATGAGAAAAGAGAGAAGGTAGGAAGATTACTCAATCTAATGAGCTTGTGAAAAGCTGGCTTTTTTTTTAATCTTCTCAAGGAGATAAAATCCCCATCGTATTAACTGCCTAGAAGAATGACAACCTATTTCCTATTCAGTTCCTTTACCTTTAGGCACCATTAAATAATATTTTGCCTAAAAATGATGAATTCTTTAATAATAATAACTTAAACTAGAAAAAAAAAGGAAAGCAAGATAGAGGAATGGATAGGAAGGAGAGAAGGCAAAACAACTCTTAAAACAGAAAAGACGCTCAGGAGACTACAGCTTTAAATGTTGTTCATATAATAATCATTACAATATGCTGTAAAACCAATCCACAGAGTAATAAAAGCTGACTCAAAGCAGTGGATATAAAAATTTTATGAAATATGAATCTGCGATATGAAGCCTAACTGAGTGAAGATAACTTTTTTAATATGAAAATGGTAAGTGGCTTCTATATTTGCTCAGTGCATTAGAGCATTGTATTGTACATGCTTAGTTATAAAACAGCAAATATTTTAAAACTTGGGAGAGTGGTAATACTAACAAAAACAGATTTCCATCATTTTAAATAGACCATTTTGCCATTATTTTACAAAATTGAGACAATGAGAATTCAAATCATTTTTCACTGTTACCATCTTTTACTAGAAAAAAAATTACATATTTTACCTAAAATGCTGCCTAACTTGATGCCAAAAACTCTACTTTTTCTCATTTAATATGAAAATAATGTAGATTACCTGTTATTGCAAGCAGAAACAACTATGATAATTAGGTATTCCTTGAGATTTTGTTCATATTTTAACTGTATAATCATCTAATATTTTTCTGGGGTTTTTTTGGTTTCAAATAATTGCAGATGAAACCAAGAAATGTCATTTATATACATAATCAATATTTCCATTACGTATATTCATATTTAAAGGACAATGCAGGTTTGTGTACATAGTCATTATATTAGCTGAGGAGTTTTTTAACTGTGTATTACTGACATATTTTTCACTTTTTGACTTTGATTATCACTTAATTTTTTGAGAAAATTTAACTCTTTATGTTGTTACTCAAGGAATGACTTTAGCATGAAAAATGAAAGGTAGGAAGGAAAATATGTCATTATAGTTTACATAAACAAAACGGTCCTACCTGTTTCAATTTCATGAAGAAAGTCTCTGTGAAAGTTTTCCTGCTGAAATACCAAAACCTCTCATTTGCAGGGTACACACGAACTACAGTCTCCAAGAGAAAGCGAACAGGCTCCACCACTTCTGTGACTACCATATCCACTGCCACAGTCATGTACACTCGTTTATCTGCAGTAGAAAGTTTCTGGGGTTTATGCTGGATTTATTGTTCCTCGATCATTTAATAAAACAGCAGTTATTTACAATCAGATTGCCTCCAATATATTTATTTTTAGATATTTTAATTATCTTGTTAGTATGTTTTCAGACACTAATGATCCTAACCTTAATCACAGCTCCAAATCTCTCCAAATCAGATCCTTAAAATAATTTAAAATCCAGAGTTTTAGAGTAAAACACAACTTGTGTTTTTAATTCATTGCCATTAATTAACTGATTTATTTTTTATATGTTTTTAGTCCTGGGTATTAAACACAGAGCCTTGTACAAGGCTCTACCACTGTGCTACACCCAGCCCAATTTTGTGTGTGTGTATATGGCCTGTGTGTGTCAATGGCCTGATATAGCTTTTAGAGAACAGCAGTACAGTGTTATCAGCTGAACTTCTATTACTGTTTAGCATGTCCCTTCAGCTACTTCATTCAATCTAGAATCTATGTCAATATATAGTGGTTTTCTACAGTTTCCCATTAAGATGAGTTGACATATGAATTTTATGAACCTGCTTGGTATTCATTGGAAATTTTGAATCTATGATACTTCATAATTTTTCAATAGTTTTATGTATTTTTTAAAACTTTATTTTGTCTGGCATTTTTAGTTCTTAAAGAAAATACAAACTAAGACTACCATTAGAAAAAACTTCCAATTATGTTTTTTGTGTGGATATGTGCCAATACTGGGGCTTAAACTCAAGGCTGAGAGCTGTCTCTCAGGATTTTTTTGTTCCAGGCTGGTACTTTATCACTTGATCCACAGCTCCACTTCTACTTTTGAGTGGTTAATTGGAGGTAAGAGTCTCACAGACTTTCTTTCCTGGGCTGGCTTCAAACTGCTATCCTCAATTCCTTTGTAGCTAAGATTACATCACCTGGCTCAATAGTGTTTCTTTTTCCAAACACTACATATCAATCATAATCATCATATTTCTATTGTCATCAAATTCAACATAATTCAACATATCTTTAAGTATTACCCCTGTCAACACAAGAGAATCTAAGATACTGTAGACATTGTAACTAACCTAGAGGACCCTGAAGTCTAAAATGAATAACACACAGAGGTAAAAGAAAGTAACACCAGACATAGAATGTCATATTCAACTGCCTCAATGCCTAAACTTCTTCAGTAAAAAATTAAATTTTATTTGGCTTATAAATTATCTGAGTAATGCATAATTTTAAAAGAAATTGAAAAAAAATTGGAAACTGTAAAGTTCATGACAACGTGTTTAGGTACCACACAAAATGATCTTAAACTTAACACATACTTTGGATCTGAATACTGTTGTAATATAGTATAAAAAAGGCTATTTTGCCGGGCGCTGGTGGCTCACGCCTGTAATCCTAGCTACTCAGGAGGCTGAGATCTGAGGATCGCAGTTCAAAGCCAGCCCGGGCAGGAAAAACCGTGAGACTCCTATCTCCAATAAACCACCAGAAAACGGAAGTGGCGCTGTAGCTCAAGTGGTAGAGTGCTCGCCTTGAGCTGAAGAGCTGAGGGACAGCGCCCAGGCCTAGA